AAAAAAAAAAAAAAAAGCAAAAAGTTTTTTTTAAAAAAAAAATTTCCCTTTTACTTTTCTTTTTTTTCTTTAAACTTTTTTTTTAAAAAAAATATTTTTTTCTAAATTATAAAAATAATAAAAAAAATTATTTAAACATGGGACTTAAACAATCCAAACATATTACCACTACTACTTTAGTAAATAGTTCGAAGGACAGACCTGATGTATTATTAAAAGGGGAAAGAAGAAAAAAATTCCGTTCTTTCCGTTCATCAGGAATATTATTTGATGGAACTTCAACTTTGGAAAATTGGAGATTCTCACATGGTGGAAAAAGAATACATAACTTGAAAAATGCAAAATTATTAGGTCCTATCATTGATGAAGAAGTCGAAAGATTACAAAGACAACATAGATTATTTAAACGTATTTGGCAAAGCAATTATTCTTCTCCTGTTGAAGAAAGATTAAAAAGTGGTGGTGCAAGAATTCTCGATGTTGGGTAAGTAGTTGAATAGTCATTTTACTTAATTGCCTCTAATTGCCTCTAATTAATAAACTCATTTCTTTTATTATTAGGTGTGGACCAGGTACATGGACAATCGAAATGGCAGAATCATATCCAAAATCAACATTCACTGGTGTAGATTTTGCTCCAATATTCCCACAAGAAAAGAGACCCGTTAACGCAAAATTCCTTCAAGCAAATATACTTGATGGTTTGCCATTCTTGGATGATACATTTGACTTTGTTCATATGAGACTTTTAGTAACGGCTTTTTCAGCAAAAGAATGGGAAGAAAAAGTTATTCCAGAATTAGCCAGAGTAACAAGACAAGGAGGTTGGGTCGAATTCATGGAAAGTGATATTCAATATTTTAATGAAGGTCCAGTAACACAACGTTTATCGAATGCATGTATGTATTTTGATCGGTTTTTATATCTTTAGTTTTTTTTTCTTGATGATGATTCATGACTCACGAAAAAATTTTTCTTTTATGTTCGCAACGTAGTAATGGCATTTATGAAAGGAAAAGGTATACTTCAACCAATAGATTCTTATGTTCCAAACTCGATGGAATCTTGTGAAAAATTTGAAAAAGAAATCAAGATTGAAGAAAAGTCATGTTTTGTTGGAAAATGGGCAGGAGAATTAGGTCAATTGGTATGTATATATTTTTATGACATCTTAGATATATCAATATCAATACATCATTACTTACAATATTCCTAATTAAAAATAGGCTGTAGATGACATAACAAAAGGATGGGCTGCAGTCAAGTTACCGATGTCAACGATGATGGGTGCAAAACCAAGTGAATACGATGATGCTATACAAATTTTTGCCAAAGAAGTTGAACAATATAAAACATCTTTCAAAACTTGGCGATTCTTTGGACAAAAGATTTCAACCACATCATCATCAGCTATAACAACACCGTCATCATGGGATCAATCGGAACAATCACAATAAATTTAAAAAAAAAAAATATTAAATTTAAAATATAATTTTTTTTTTACTTCGAATAATTTGATTACTCCTTATAAATTTTCACAACATATAAACAAACATTCTAATTATATACATATTCATTAATACTTATTATTATTATTTTTAATTATCTTCAACATTGTATTTTTTAATTATTGTAAATTATTTTTTATTTTATCTTTTTCTTTTTTTAAAAATGAGATTTTTCAAGAGAAGAGATAATTTTATTTTTTTAAAGATTTTTCATATTATTTACGTTTAATATATATACATATATATTTTTTTTTTTCAAAGAAAATTACTAAATTATTAAATTACAACGAAAAAAAAAAAAAAAGAAAAATTTTTTTTTAATTACACATCTAAGTTTTAATGCTGTCTCTTATACACATCTAGATGTGTATAAGAGACAGGATATAAACAATAACCCATAAATAGGTAATATACAACACTATAAATTAATTTTTTTTTTTTTT